CAGTGTGAGTTCAATCCCCAGCCCCGGAGGTGACCCACATGGCGCAGCAGACCTCTCCTGGCCCACCCACTGCTCCCCTCAGCAGTGTACTTCGTAGATCTGCCTGCTCTGCTCCCCATTCTGGCTCTGGTGAATCCTCTCACCGCCCCTGTACCTCTGGCCTGTACCCCAGTTCTGCATGCATAAATAAATCTTTAAATAAGAAATTCTAAACAATCAAAAGGGGGGAACTTCTTGTGGCAGAAAAAAAAAGTGACATAGTCAATCTGTTTCATTTTCCTGCTGGTTCACAGAGAGATTATCTTCTCAGCCTCTATTACAGGTCTAACTACTTGACTGTGATCAGCAGTGATATTTATCAGACCTGGCTGCTAAAACCTTCCATAACATTCCTTAACCCCCACTCACAAAAGATTGATTGGCAGTGAAATTGCAAAGAATGCAATACCAAAGAGATGGTGGGTCCATAGGACAGAAGTCTGAGTCCTTAAATGAGAACCCTGCCCCTCTCTGCACCATTGTTGACCTACATGTATCGTCTCCCAAATAAATTCCTTTTGTGTTTGGCGTAAAACATTACATACTCTTAATTATCAGAGCCCTCAGTAATACTCAGCTACAATAGCCCAGAGATGACCTGCACGAATTAATTTACTGTTTCAATGTATTTATTTATTGTTCTGATACTAGTGCTTATGTAAAAAGGTGGATGTTTATAATTTATTCGTATACATGTATTACATATTACACAGATATCCATGCTATTCCAAGTTCATGTTCCTCCACTTTGCTTTTATAAAAAGACCTACATCTGTTTTTGTTAACTGAAACCCGAAGAGGTCTTTGGCTTTTATGATGAAAAGTGAACAGAGCAATGAGCATTTGTTTCACAGCAGCTGTTCTGGAGGTCGCATGTGTCCCAAGCAGCAAGAGTGGCACCACCAAGCTCCCCCCAGACACTTTGTACAGGCTTTTTATTTATTATATCACTCCAGCTTGTAGGTTTTATGTGTTACTTAGAATGATTTGGTAGGTTATTTTTGGGTCTGGGAATGCTTAAATAATTTTCTGTATAAATTGATGGTAATTGCTGCTTCAATTTATGCCATTCAGCTTATGAAAGGTCTCCTGGAAAGGCTCTACTTCTAGATAGTGGAGAAACCAGTACACAGTCCAAATAAAATACTTCACACCCAGATACCTTCTTTACCAAAATTACCACTAACAATATTGAAAATTTGATTTTTTAAATTAAAACATAAAGCTAAATTTAAGTTTAACACAGGAGAATTGCAAAGAATAAAACTTGAAGCATGTATTTGAGACATAAATAAAGGAAGATGTAGATTTTTTTTTAAATTAACGTATCCACACTGAATTGCCTTCGTGAAAAAATCCCAACATAAATAAGAGGGGATTGCCAACTCTCTGTGAGTGTATGTGAAGTACTTTCCTGCCAAAGCAATGATTTTTCAGACCCTGGTCAGAAATATTCGTGTTTGTGAAGAGATTTCTGAAACTTTCCTGAAGCTTTTTGAGGAAAAGAACTGAACATGAGAGATGTGCCAGGTCTTGGAAACAAAAGAAATGTGAAGACTTTTTCCTCAGTAGGAGGAAAAAGTATAAGTAGCAGACTCCCAATCAAGATCCTAAGTAAACTATTTTAACACAGCTTGTCACAGCTGTATTTAAAATTTGCCTGCAGAAGGAAGGTGCCAGTGAAGGCAAAGAAAAAAATACCTAAGGAATACTTCAAGCTAGATGTTTATTTTTTAGTAAAGTGATTTGCTACCTCTTATCAAGAAATCACACACCCCAAGGGTTTGAATGGAAATCAAACAGACACTTGTTGCCATTTCACTTCAAAGTTCTTGAAAAAGGAACTTTTCTACCCATCAGCAGTTTAACTTGGCAATTCTCTCTCCTGTAATTCAGGAGGGACCTTCTGTCTTCATCATCACAGGAGGGGCGGAGCATCCTCCGAAGCTCCGGAGAACAGAGCCCGGCCAGGCTTGGCCGAGGGGCTGCATTTCACAGGCTGCAGCTGACAAGAAGCCTCAAGGTAATGGCTGTCTTCAGGCTAGTTATTTTCTAGGGATTTCTGAGAGCCCTAGAGTAAAGGTGAGAAAAATAGGGTTGGTGATCTTGGAGTGGTGGGGATGGTGTGTGACTTTGAGAGAATTGCTGGTATTTCGAATTATCCATTTGGGGTGGTGGGGGAGTGATGTTGTATGTCCCAATGCTTTAAAAGTCTACAGTGTGAGAAGTGATCAGATTACAGCCTCTATATTAAGACTTAAATGCAGCAATGCGACTAAGGCTAATTTATTCACATGGTTATATTGCCAGACATTCTGTTACTATTTTGAATTTTTTAGCATTTATTAATTTACACAAATGACTGCTGAAAATGTTTGAAAGCATGGGAGGAAATTCTCCTATGAATTGATTGACACACTGAAACTGTATTGCCAAGTATAGGTGAACATAGAAAAAGGAACAAATATGACTTAAATGAAGGTACTTGTATATATATACAAGTATATATGTGTGATTAGAACAAATCTGGGAAAAACAAACTCCCATGTTAATCAGCATTTCTAGATGGTCAGATTACCATTTTAATTTATCTGGATTCAGCATCTTTAGTAGATTTGTCCAGGTTTATTTTTATAATGAGAAAGAAACTCTACAACATACCCATTTTGTTTCAAACACATAAGCATTTATGGGTGCATATAGACATGTAAACCCACCCCCTTTGTCTTTTACTGATAGTGGAAATTTTTCTGGATCTGATCAAGCACATAACCTGTTGCTGTGCTGGCTCTGACTTTCACGTGTCCTCCTGCAACTCATTCTTCAGAACCCAGGTATGACCATGGTCAGTGAGGACCATTTCTCTATACCTTTTAAGTTTAAAAGAGTAAGACCAACAGGATTTGACTTCTCTAAGCATTTCTTAAAATATTATGTGGAACAAATGTAGAATATAGTACTATGTTCCTGGAGGTAAAAATGCCAATCGCTGCATATCATGCTTTGAAGTGTCTGAGTAGTATAAAGTGAAAGAAGCAGAACATTTGTCATATGATCTCACTTACAGATAAATGTCCATGTTAGTAATACACATGTAGGCTACTATAATACATGCAACTAAATGTTGGAAAACATACCTGTGATGCTATTAATATGATTATCTGTGTAGTCAAAGAGAGAGGGCTAACTTACTGCTCTCTACTTACAATTTCATTAATTTCTACTTAATTAATTTCCTTGTTTCATATCATCAGGAATAACATTGAGATAAAATGTTGCAAATGTGGGGAGAAAGCCATTTAAAGAAATTCATAAAAAATCATGTGGAAAATATGTACATAGTGGATTGATGTTCAGACTATGCTCTGAATTGGGATCTGATGTTGGTTTGAAATGATATCTATTGATCAATACATATTAAACAAATCCTGGAAGGAGAAAATATTTGTAGTGATCATGTCTTTAAAGTTACACCTTGTTTTGTATATATCTTCCTGTATCTTTTCAATTTTTAATAAGATGCTGTATATATTTATAACAAGAAACATTATAGTTGATGACATTATAATCCTAGGTAACAAAAACCCTGTGTTTAGTATGGAAAATTTCAGAAGCCTGGGAAGGCTCCAAGATTGTTAAATATAGTTCCCTGTTTTCTCATTAGAAGGACCCCGTAGGGAGGTAAGGTCCTATCTACACTTCCCGAGGAGGCTGCCATTCTGATTCTGGTCACAAGATGGCACCTGCCAGGTTTCCTAAATTTTCTCCAGTAAACCATTTTTGTGAAATAGGCAAACAACGCAGTAAAATGTATTTTGTTTTAGAAGACTCTGAGAGAGTATGTGCAGTGTGATTAAAACTGGGGAAAAATATATATGTAAAGACAGAGAAATTCACGTGATGATTTATGTGAGGATTCAAACAAGATCTACAATCTGGCTCATGGTAGAGACAAGGGAGATACTTCCCTTCTTGTCTCCACCTCACACTTTTTCTGAGAGAGATAATTTCAGTATGAGCCAAATAGTGTAACTATCACAGAGAATTTAGAATGAATAAGAAGGGAAATAAATATGGTATCTTCATCAGAGATGAGATTTCATTTGATTGCTGTGTTTCAGAATGATGTGCTGCTAAAGTTTTGGTAAGGTGGATCCTTTGCACCATTTCTATTTAATTGATTGGACTTCCTATCTCTTTTTGGACAGCCCGTGAGACTCAGGACATCTGGACCACAAGGCCAGATCTTCACAGTCCATACGACATTGGGTAAGGCTTCACAGTTTCACAAAATACTTCACATTGCAAAAATAATGAGAAGTTGGGGCATAATTTATTTCACTTCCTGCTCTGCAGTTGTAGCATTTTGAATAAAAAGCCACATTTCATACTAAAATCATGTTAGGTTAAAAGCTGAGGTGTAATCTGTAGCCATAATACTTTTGTAATTAAAAGTCACGGCTTGTAGTTTGGGCTAAAAATTCCATGAATAAGTCATACAAGAGATTGTTCAGCTTTCTAGTTAAGGCCCTAGCCATTCCTTTGACTCTCAAGAAACACTTGAAAACTGTCTGGTCCAACAAATGACCATAGTAAGTCACTCTGAATCTCTGCTTTCTAAACTCAGGCTTTTAACAAGATCACTATGTTGTCTGTCCAGGAGGTACAGAATCTCTTCTCAGTGTCTTTGGATGAACAGGGACACAATTACAGCTTTAAAAGTAGAGAACTGTGTTCAGCTAGAACAGTGCTTCTCAAAGAGTTCTGAGAAAAGAAGCATCAAAATCACTTGAGAATTTATTTGAAATACAAAATAATGGGCTGTTTTCAGACCTTCTGAATAAAACTGTCGGGATACAGCCTAGAAATCTAGTCTGAACAAGTCTTCCAAATGATTCCAGTGCCCAATAAGTTTATGTTCCCACTGCCCCAAGTATAATGTCAGAGGTACAAAGGTAGCGATGTACCTAAATTATAGAGTCCCTGACATACCACACAATCTCTACCACCTCTGCTGTCTCACACACAATCACTGCTTAATGCATAGTTATAAGGGCAAGTTCTTTGAGGGATTAGGAAAGTATTTCTCTAGTTCTTTTGCCTACCCACTTTCCTCTGTCTGACGTACCACTGATCATTGTTTTTTCATTATCTCTTCTCTGTTTGCAATTGCTCACCTTCTGCTTAGACAAAATCATTTCATTTACTGATACTATTCTTCTTTTCCTCCTCCCATTTCAGTATCTTCCACATTGTCTCATTCAAACAACGTGTTCAAGCATTCTTTGGAAATTCAGCTGGAGAACAGTTTGCATAAGCTGTGAATTCTTTTATAGTTCTAAGACAAAAGAGACTGGTAGGAGTACTGTTTTGGTCAGGACTGCCTTAGTAGTGACCAGAATAGCCAAACACTTCAGTCTCTAATAACTTTTGACACAAATCTAAATCATAATGGATGCTGAGTATGTTCTATGTAATTGGAAAGATCAATTATGGCCAGCAAAAGTTTTATCTCGATCTGAAACTTCATCAAACAGTAAGAGAAAAAAGACATATTCCCTTGAAGTTGAAATACTCTCTCTGGATGAAAAAATTCAAGTGGAGAGCACAGAAACAAAGGTCCTTAGTAAACCTCAGATCGAAGCCATTGTCTCCTCACTAACAGCGCACTCAGAGGTCAGTTCTGAGCCTACAGAGGAAAGCACGTATGAAAGATCACTAAAAGTGGCACTGAATATTCTGAATGAAAGAACCAGCATCAGTCAAGCAAGCAGTTCCGATGAAGAAGAAACCACTACACTGCCTGAAGATGGGCCAGAAAAGCCAGATCAGCTTTCAGATTCACCCCCTCGTAAAAAGTGTCGGCAGCAAGAAGGCGACCCACTGGAGTGTGTTGATGAAAGTGAAAATCCACCCTCTCTGTCAGTATCTTCAGAGAGTGATAATACCCCGTGTGATGACAAATCACAGGTGCCCTCAATCACTGATACTTCTCCAAATGAAACGGAAACAAAGTTATCTCTAAACTCTAACTGGTGTGAGGCTTTCCCTTCACTTTCAGAAGATGATGATGATGAGAAAGAGAATAAAAAAAAAATTGACATCACTATAGTTCCATGCTTTTATCCCACAATCAAAGAAGAGGATGAATGTGTTAAAGAAGAAAAATTTGCTCCAAATTCACCACTAGATAGCTTCAGTGTGCCCAAAGCTCTGAAGGAGGAGACAGAGGACATATCCACGGAGTCCCTGGCCGTTTCCTCAGAATGCACACCCTTGTTAGAGAATATTGAAGATCCTGGGGAAGGTCCCTCAAATCCATGCCCTGACACCAATCAGGAGCAACCTCCTGTGGAATCAGAGACAGGAGCTGCGACATCTCCCAGGCCTTGTTCATGGGAGTGTCAGCTTTCATTAAGTGCCTCTAACAGTGTTCTAGATTATTCACTCCTTCTTGTGAATAATGAAAGAAATCTTAACAGACTGGATTTTGAGGATCTTGAGGAAGAACTTCAAGCTTCTGGTAAGTCAGTGCATCAGAATTCTATTGATGCTTCCATATTAGATGACAATGAGGAAGATGAAGAACTCCCACGCGTCATTTTTCATTATGAGACACGTTCATTTGAAGCAGGAATGATAGTTTGGTTTAAATACCAAAAATATCCTTTTTGGCCAGCAGTGGTCAAAAGCATCAGGAGAAAAGAGAGAAAAGCAAGTGTGCTTTTTGTTGAGGCAAACATGAATCCTGACAAAAGAGGCATTAGAGTGCCTTTTAGAAGATTAAAGAAATTTGATTGTAATGAAAAACAAGCACTTGTCGATAAAGCCAGGGAGGAGTACAGTGAAAGTATTGACTGGTGTATCTCACTGATATGTGATTACAGAGTTAGAATAGGTTGTGGTTCTTTTTCAGGCTCTTTTCTTGAGTATTATGCTGCTGACATTAGTTACCCAATTCGGAAAGTAACCAAACAAGATACCTTCAGAAACAAATTTCCAAAGCTCCAAAGTGATGATATTGGGGAGTCAATGGTTGTGACTTCGCAAACCAAGAAAATGTCCTTCCAGAAAATTCTCCCTGATCGGATGAAGGCTGCTCGGGACCGAGCCAATAAGAACCTAGTGGACTTTATTGTAAATGCAAAGGGAACAGAGAATCATCTCCTAGCCATTTTAAAAGGCACAAAAGGATCAAGGTGGCTGAAATCATTTTTGAATGCAAATAGGTTCACTCCCTGTATTGAAACATACTTTGAGGATGAAGATCAGTTGGATGAGGTGGTGAAGTATCTACAAGAAATCTACAAACAAATAGATGAAAGGATGCTGACTCTGATAAAAGATGACAAAATTAAATTTATTCTGGAGGTTCTTCTACCAGAAGCGATCATCTGTTCAATTTCTGCTGTTGATGGATTAGATTACAAGGCAGCTGAAGCAAAGTATCTAAAAGGACCATCTCTAGGATACAGGGAAAGAGAGTTATTTGATGCAAAAATCATATTTGAAAAGAGACGGAAACCATTAACAAATGAAACTCATTAAGACTCCCACGTGTCCCAACTATAACAGCTTTCATAGATGTTAGTTTTTAAAAAAAAATCTGAATAATTCCAGCATATAAATATTTTCCATAAACAGGAGACTTTTGGTACTGTGTTTACTTTTTGGCAACCTCTAAAATCTGTGCATATACTACATCTTTTTTTAATGCTTCTTCAAGTCAATTTTATTAACATAACTCAGCAACCTGCTTTCCCATACATTTGTAGAATGCATAATTGCTAACTGATTTTTAAGGGAAAGTAATTTTTTTTTGGTATTTTTACATCTATGCTGTATAATTAAATACAGTGTGCACAATCATTTCAATTTAAAAATTGCACTGGTGTTAGATAGTAAGCAAGATAATTAGAAAAAATCTAAAGTCATCAATTATATATTTTTTGCTTAATTTTTATAAAGTATTGGGTTTTATCTTAAAATAGTTGATTATTTTTTCTGCCATGCTTATTTATTTTTGGAAAAAAAAAATCTCTGAGACATAGAACCAAAGATAGAGATGCTTTGCTATATATTATAACTAACTGCAATTGTTTTGCAAGAAAACAATCTGAAATTCAAAAATAAGTGGATCACCTGCATGCAGTTTAACACATATGCAATGAAAATGTGAATAACATCTCAGCATGCAAAAAATCACTTTGGCAGCCTTGAACAGGATTGTCCTTTCTACACATCCCTGAAATTACATGTATGGGAGTGTCTACTATTCAAAAGCAGAATGGCTCCTTAAAATGACAGGCTTGTTTGGCTGTCGTCTTAACTAACAGTGACTGTATCATCTTAATATAGCTGTCTGACCACATGTGGAAGGCAGCTAGAATCACTGTATTCACAGTCTGGTTACTCTAAATGTATGAGTCTAGGCTGACTACTTAAGAGCCCATGTAGCTTGATATAAACATAGAATATGCAAGCACTTTTTCTGAGTCTTGTATCTCCAAATAGGAGATACGTAGTCACTTGTGTCTCAAGCCACACAATCTTTATCATGTGACTTATTCATAGAATAGTTTCAGTTGGTTCTAATAGTATAAATGCCAACTGGTAATTCATTCCAGGCGACTAAAAAAGTAGATGGACCAGAATCTAGGGATTTAGAAATGGGCCATAGCAAAAGCCTGCATTTGGCTTATATGACTATTTTCCGAATATGTTTAAAAGTACATAATTAAAGGCAAAAGTCTGAAGCCAATGATTTGTTTATTTTACCTTGAAACTTTAGTAAAAATATTAGGAGAGCTGCTTTATTTTAAAAACCTGACATAAAAATAAATGTTAAAGGCTTAACATGAACCTGTCTGCATTTTTAATTTTAGAATACAACTCTGACTTTTGAGCTTTTGTTATTTTTTTTTTCATATGGCCAACATGTTTTTGTAAAATTTGCAAAAGTTGATGTCTTGATTTGCAATAAAAGCATTGTATCTTCCAACTTGGATGTTTACTTTAGCAAATTTCAGATTACAGCTACCTAAGAGGGATTTCTGAAGGCTGATTATATATACACCTATATATATAATTTGCTTGAAATTTTTGCTTGCTTTAGTCAATTTAATGCTTGTTATACATTGTTATTCTAAATAAACACTTTCATGATTGATTTTTGCATTATTTTCTTAACAAAGCTTTCCAAGTTGTATAAAGTTTCAGATTTAACACAATCTTCTCTGGTCCCAGCCTGATAAAGACCAGAACTCCTCGGGAGTATAGCTTTCTCAGACTCCTAAGGATTATTTAATGACTGAGACTATCACTGCATGATATGTGAATCGTATATCCTGGGGAAAAACTGAATTTGTAAAGTTGTACCTCTAGTTCAAATATTTTACTACCCACCTTCAACTTTCTCAGTGAAGCCACCTCTACCTCTTATTTTTATTATTTTCTTTAATACCTCACTCATTCAGACAGTTGTAAGTCAGGAGAGCAAGTGATTCAACATGTGGGTTAAAGCTACTCCGAGGATAGAATGTGAAGTGTAAAATTTAAGGCTGACCCAGGTGACAGGGTCAGTTGTAAAGTGAGTCAGATGACAATCTAATTTCTAAGATGATTAGGATGTACTAGTTCAAATTAGTGAGAAATACTTATTAATCTCATGGACTACCTATATTTGAAAACCCCGTATTTGTGAGTGTCAGGGTGTATGGTTTGAGGTAAGGAGAGCACATTTGAACCCCATGTATTGTATACATTGCAGTGAGCCATGTACCTCTGTTGGCACTGGCATTTGGAGTGTGGGAATGGGTGAGTCTGGCTTCCAATTCATGTCGACTCAGATCCCTTTTAGTTTGAATGGTCGTTTAAGGCAGGGTCTAAGGCAGCCCCTAATCTGGGTCCCTGACATTGTTGGTGCACCCAATGAGACTGTCCAACCTGTTGTTCATTATATCCCATTGGATTAAGGAGATTTTCAACTTCACCAGTCATAGGGGAGACTGATAAATATCAGACCCACATTGTAGTTGTTAGGTTGGGAGAGCTACACAGAAGCTGCGTTCACAACATTTGCAGTTCTATATCAATAGATGCACACTAATGAGAGTAGAACTCTGAAAGCTTGAATAGCAATGAGTATGAGTCTTCATTACCTCCGATCTTCTGAACCTTTAGCCTGACAAAAGCAGCCCCCTGCCCTCCTAATCCTGGCTCTTTAGCAGCTCTTGTTCCTAGAAACAAGGCAACAACCCCATCTAAAACAATTACCTAGGAAGACATTACTTGTCTTAACACCCAGCACTGATATTTTCATTGCTTCTAGCTCATGACAGGGAGAAAATAGGACACCAAAAGAAATAAAATGTGTTCTCTATTCAGGTGGAAAATCCAAAAGGAACTGTAGGAACTGGCCAAAATGTCCTGTCAAGACCTGGGATAATGTTGGAATAGCTTTAGTGGCTGTCAAGCAAAGGAAGGGGAAGGATTTAAATATACGGGAGAACTTATTATCACTGGGCCACACACCTATAACTCGGGGCTCAGCCTTAATATGCTGCCTGGGTGGTATCTTCAAGCTTGGACAACAGCCTGTAATATATAATACTGAGCAACTGTAACTTGCCAAAACACAGAAATTGGTGAGAAGGTCAAAGGGAATCAGGATGTTAGAAATTATGATTGCATGAGACAAGCTATTTCTGAATGATTTTCCCTAGGAGGGCAGAGAAGATACTACAATAATAATACATTGGTGAAGGAGAACATCGACATTGAGAAATTAATATTGGCTTTTCTCTGAAAACCATAGTTGGAAATAGGTTGCAATGGAAATAAATGATAGGATTCCAGAATGGCAGGTCCCTGGTGCAGCACAAAACCTCAGGGACAAATTGAGGAACATTCCCATAATGGGAAGCAAATTCAGTCAGCCAGGCTAACTTGACATATGAAGTCTGCAGCAATGACTTATAGATAGTAGTATTCCAGGGCTAGAGTTCTAGAAAGTTCTATTCTTTTAAAAAAAGATTTATTTATGCATACAGAACTCGGGTACAGGCCAGAGGTGCAGGGGCAGTGAAAGTATTCACCAGAGACAGTGGGGAGTAGAACAGGTAGATGGACAAAGTACACAGCTGAGGGGAGTAGCGGGCCAGACAGGAGAGGTCTGCCGCACCATGTGGGTCGCCTCCCATGCCAGGGATGAAACTCTCACTGAGGCTGCTGTGGTCAGCTTCACAGCGCTGCACTTCAACCCGTTGCACCACCACGAAGGGCCGTCTATTAACTTCTTATGTGCAAAAAGAAAACCATGAGAGCTGGTGAACATAACTGCAGTGGAAAATCATGGTCCCCCAGCAAGTTTTCAGATCTGCTGGGCAAGATGCCCAACTATTCAGGTCACATGACTCAGCATATCTGCTAATGCTTAAGATACCAATCTTGGATAAGGATGCACTATCAATGTAATCATTAAGTCATAATATTGGAGTTGCTACATAGAATATGGGGATTCTGAAATAAAGGTCATACATTCTGTGCTATGAAAAACATGTCGTGTGTACTAGTGAGCTTAGTAAATGAGTGCCTAAGCAAGAGACAGCAAACGACTACATGGCAAGGTGCTGTACGTAATAAGATTCACCAGGTGAGGAAGACTGGCAGGTTGAAGAGCAGTTCATCTGTGACAGAAATGCTATATTCAGGATCCAGCATAAGAAGGCAAATTGTATAAATCTCTCATAGCATTGCTCATTTGTTTCAGTGACTCCCCTCCAAGTCACTCCAATGGCCTCATAGGGTCAGGGGTCACCTATTTGTCAGCAGTAAATGTTGGTGATAGCTGTAAATGAATGACTGTCACATTTCAGACGAGTGTTGAAGAGAAAACTCCCAGTTGGCAGAGTGTGAGAGTACCATTTATATAGAGGGTGTAGAAACTTGAGGTCATCTCCTGGACTGTGAAGCATGAATTGGCTGGTATATGAGGGTCTAGGAGGAAGTGCTGAAAGTAAAAATGTCTGGATAAAAGCATGTCAATGGACTTACTGGAATGCAAATTAAGCAAGGCCTGATGGTAGAGAAAGCACTTAACCAAGTAGATTTTCTCCTCAATCGTCTTGGTTCTGGCACTATAGGGCCATGCATTGTCTTCGTGACAGGAATGGAGCCTAAGCATTAAATCAGCAGCACTGGCTCTCTTGCCAAGGGTGATCAAGCTGTTGCCACTGCTGAATCCATAATTTCCAGCAGCAACACCTGATAGTGGGCCCTCGTTATGCATCTTCCTTTAGGGATATCATCCAGCTAGTATGTTCTGTGTTGAAGGTGCTGTGCCTATTCTGTCTCAGAGATGGCGGTTATTCATCCCCACAAGAAAACCATAGCAACTTTCATCCCGAAGGAACAAGCACCACTTGCCTGTACAAATGTGTGATTTTGTAACACTCCTTATTTGACTTTTCCTCCTTATTTCACCACTTAACAAGTGAACTACTTGTCTGAGAACCCTTATATCATGTTCTTTTTGTAAACACTCAAGCTAAGACAATCAGCTGTAATTATGCATGTATTTTATAGAGTACAAGTAGGTTCCACTGTATAAAGTATACTAAAGATTTTCATTCATAAATGAAAGCTATTAAAAGTAAGTTGCCCAGTTCTACATAAGATGGAGTATATATATTTCCTCCATCCCACCTACCACAATTAATAATGTAAGTTTTCACCTGAAGGAACTAGAAAAAGAAATGCATATTAAATCTAAAGTAAGCAGAAAATTGGAAATAGTAGGGCATAAATAAAATTGAAAACAGAAAAACAGTGGAGCAAATCAATGAAACCTAAAGCTGGTTCTCTGAAATGATCAATAGTTTGATAGGATATTTGCTAGAGTAACCAAAAAATAAAAACAGAGGACAAATGGGGACATCCGTACTGACCCTGTAGACATT